GAATACATAACTCGAGCCTTAACTATACTCCAATTCAATTTTAAGAGAAAATATTTAAAAATTTAAAATTCAGTTGATAATTAATAAATATTATACATAAACCAATACATTATATATCCCATAAATATCTATAATTTATTTTCTCTCAATTCTCTCTCTACCTATCTTTATCTCTCTTTACCTTCTCTCTCTAACAGCCGTGCTTCCCGTCAGCACTGTTCAATGACGAGCCTTGATGTGCCCAACATGGTGCAACAACGCTAATTGCACAATGGTATGTGCCTCTGTAAGCTACGCTATGCGTAGGAGCTTGTTGTGAGTAGCAAGTTTAGCCGTGCAATTATCGACCAATTATTTAGACAGTTAGATAGTCTTGGAGGTTGTAAACTTGGATGGAGATGGAGGTGAAGGTGTAGGAGGGGGGTGGACTAGGTTGAGGAGTAAGTGGTGGTAGTGGAGTTGACGGTGGATTGGGAGTTGGATCTGGAGGTAGATTCTGTGGAGGAGCAGGAGGTGAGCGACGATGGATCAGACATTGTTGGTGGTTTTCTTTCTTGTCGTGGGTGGTGATGATGGTTGTGTAGATGGTGGTGGAGATGGCCACTGTCGATGGATCAGATCCAATATAGCCCCTGTTTGGCCCCATTACATGGGAAAATTAATGGGTGAAATGGTGTTTTTTTTTGAAAAATGAGTGGTTGAAAAAGAATGAAAATTTTTCGATTTACATGTAATATTATTTTATGAAAGATTGTGTGGTTAAAAATAGGAGAAAGAAAAATGAAATGAAAATTAATGAGGCTCAAGAGGGGGCATAAATTTGAAAATTTTTTTTGTGGTGTGATTTGAACTGCATATAACAAGATTCAGAATCTATTGCAAATAAGTCCCTGTTTGGCCCTTATTATTGGGAAAAAATTAATGGGTGGAATAATATTTTTTTTTTGAAAAATGAGTGATTGAAAAAGAAGAATTTTTTTCGATTTACGTGTAATATTCTTTTATGGAAGATTGTGTGGTTGAAAATATGAGAGAGAAAAATGAAATGAAATGTAATGTAATAAAAATTAATGGGGCACAAACGGGGGCTAAGAGAGATGATTTGCCACAAACCACCACAAATAATGCCGTCGAATTGAGGCGGTGTTGTCAACCTTGCGTCTACTCGTGATGCCTATTGTCGAAATAGCGAGTATTGATATAGAGATATTGTTATTAATATTAAATACCTGATTAATGAATAATGAAACCTTAAATATGATTTAGAATTGGATTTTGTTTTTTTTTTTTTTTTTGTTTTAATCGAAATCGACTAGTGTAGTTTTCATACGAAAATTTATTCGTCTGTACTTAATGTCAATCAATAATTGTTCATTCTGGATATCCATTTCATTTATCTTTTCATTTTCTATCACCATATTCTTATCTTCGATTTTATTACTTAGCATATTTCATCTCTAATAACTATTTGTGCTCATAAAGTCCACAAGACGGAGTAAAAAGATTCATTTATCCATTATATTTTAAATATATAAAAAATTAATAAATACAAAAGTTAGATAAAATATTTTCTCCTCATTTCGAGGCAAGGAAATTAATATTTGGACAAAAACAATCACGAAAGGCAAAAGTGTTGATTTATGGAAGGTTAAAGAACAAAAAAATCGTTGAAAAAAGTCAAGAACATGAATACTACAATGAAAAATTAAGTTATAATGTATTTTTAGATATTGGATAATGTGACAATGATCATACTATCATATAAACTAAGGTCCTGTTTATCTTCCTTTAAAATAAAATTATTTAATTCTCACTCATTTCGGCTATACATTAACATAATTGCACGTAAATTCAAAAAAATTTCATATTTTTTAATCACGTATTTTCCAAAAAATATATTATCGAAAACATTATTATTTTTTCTCTATGATAGCTATCAAACTGTAACTAATATTGAGCGTCAGTAAAGATGAATAACATTACTATTGATTTTATTCAGCATGATACAAAATTAGAGGGGTAAATCCGAACCAAAACACTCGACTCTGTTTTGGATTCACATGTCGGTAAGGTGACCTGCCTAGAGAGACGTGTTAGAACTCTAATTTTTATTTAACACCAAAGCATATTTTTATTACTTGTCCCTTGTTTGGTACCCATTTTTCTCAAAATACATTTTTCTCTCTCTTATTTTCAACCATACAATCTTCAATAAAATAATATTACACGCAAAACTAAAACTTTTTTTTATTTTTTAACCACACATTTTTCAACAATCTCTATTACAAAATGCATTTTTACTATGAAAATGAGAAACAAACATGCTCTTGGCCTATAGATTGGTGGCTACTATATAAAAATTAGTTACAAAAAATCATGTGAAAGTAATTACAATTGGACAGAATCCTCATCTCTACAGTCTACAAAAACAAATGCTTTTGAGAATGACTACATAAACAAATACCTTTGAGAATGAAAAGAAATTTGAACCATACTACACGCATAGAAGACTTTGACAGTTTTTTCTTTTTTTTTTTTAGAACACACGTGTCAATTTGCGATTGAACAATAAGGGGAAAAAACACCCATACTGTCACCTATAATTAATTTGCACGTTGGGAATTGTTCAAGAAATTTTTAGTTTGGTTAGTTATCGAAGTTAACCATTGATTAAGTAGGCCCTAAAGACTAAGACCCAAAAGTACAAAAGAACATCTGAGTATTTAGGCAATAATCTCAGACAAATTATTTTTTTCCTCAAAAATAAAAAATTGCACTATGTGCCTTTAACAATATAGTCAATAATTAGATCGCATTAATAAATATAATTGTATAGATAAAAATTATATAACCCTACCTTGAATATTAATTGAACTTAACGGTCCGTTTGATTGCAATGATGAAATTTGAACGAAAAGAAAACGAATTCCATGGAATTGAATTGTTTATAACTTGTTTTCATGAGAATTGTTGATTAATATATTTGATTGGTATAATTTTCCGCCTGAAAATTTTTGAAATTTTTTATCTTTTGGTGTTCGTTTGACTTTGTTTTTTTATGAAAATTGTCAATTAAATGGATAAATTTTTTTACAATTGTTAATAAAATTTGTTCCATTGCTGAAAATTAGAAAAAAAAAAGTTGGGGGTGAGAATTGGTTTTCCACCAAATCATGGAAAATGTACATGTGTGGGGAAAAGATGGAAAATTAATTCCATGAAAAACTTTTACTATCAAACACACAAAGTTGGTGGAAAAATGGAATTTGAATTCCATTTTTCTTGGAAAAAGAGCCAAATGTTTGATTGACATGAAAAATATCACTTATAAAAAAAAATGTTTTCCTTGTTATGAGGAAAATAAAAACATACTCCCCCAAAGAAAATATTTTCCTTAAAAATAAGGAAAATTAGGTATATTTTCAAAAGTTAGAAAATATTTTCAATGGAAAAAATAGCAATCAAATATTCAAAGTAGGAATTTGGGTAGAAAATTAATATTTTTTTATAGAAAATAAATGCAATCAAACACACCCTAAGAGACTGCTTGATTGCAAGAATGAAATTTTGATGGAAAAAAATGAATTTCAGGAATTGAATTGCCTAGAACTTGTTTTCTAAGAATTGTCAATTAAATGTATTTGATTGGTATAGTTTTCCACCTATAAAATGTTGAAATTTTCTATCTTTTGATATTCGTTTAACATTATTTTTCATTGAAAATTTAATTAAAGGGAAATAATTTGTTACAATTGAAGATAGAATTTGTTCCAATTCCCAAAAAAAAAAGTTGAAAAACCAATTTCCTCCAAAATCAAAGGAAAACCAATTTCTCAAAAACATGGAAAATTGGGCGGGTGGGAGGGTTGGGTGGGAAACCAACTCCATGGAAAATTTTGTCCATAAAACATACCATTTGGATGGAAAATGAAAAATATTTTCTATGGGAAATGAAGCATTTCAAACATGCCCTAATCAAATTTTAAAAACCAACAAGAAGTTCCACTCTTTTTTTATCTGCTTTAGGATAGAGTGGCAGCCCTGACCGTCAGCATGCTATAAAATATGCATGTTTTAGTGTGTCATTTTGTTTAACTATTATATAACATATTTACTTAAACAAGCCTAAATTTTTTCGCAGTCCTAATTCGTTCTTCTTGCTATTCAACCTCCTATAGATGTAGGGAGTTATTACTACTTTGCTCAAAAATTATTATTCTCTAATATGAGAACTGCAATTATATGATGACTTTCCGTAAATTTTGAAAATCATTAGCAATTCATTTGCAAGTCATACGATTCTTTAATTCTTTGCTTATTCCTATTGGGAAGCAAGTGGATTTCCCATGGAAAAGCAAGCGAGTCAACAGGGTAGGGTTAAGATTCAAAGGGCTTAAAACCTCTTTCTAGCTTTGTGGGAATATTTCTTACTTGTATGCCAAGGTTGAGGAATCGAATATGGGGGACAAAAAGAAAGAAGAACTTCTAGTTATTAATGCTGCTATCTATTACCCTATAACAAAGTCTGAGAATCATATCAAGTATACCCATTCGGGCTAACTATGTTTCAGACACGCTCTTACATTATCGAGTGATTACTTATTTTGAACTATTGCTTTCCCTCTTCAAGGGACAAGCTTTTATGATTTATTTGTTCATCCATCACATTATTTTTCCACCTTTTTATTTTACTTATGAAAGAGTTAGATCATTATATGACTTTTGTAGACAAATATATGCATCCTTTTAACTTGACACAACTTAATTTTTTGTTGTGGCTTTCAAGATCATGGATGGCAACGGAATAGGCAATTATTCATTACGACCATGCCCATCTCCACTCTGTCAAGAGCTTTTGGGAAGCGAGGCAAGGATTGGTTTGGATGGAGAATGCTACTTGTACAATGTGGACTTAAAATGTGAGGTGGAAAGGGCCAAAAAACAAAAACAAAAAAAATGTGAAAAACGAAAAAGGAACTTTGCTACAGGAACTGTACAAAATGGCGCCAAAATGGAAATATCACTTTCCAGCTCCTTTCTTAGAAGCTATATTCAGACACCAGAAATTCTTCATAGAAAGAGCTGTCCTCCCTCAACAAATTTGGACGACTTCGTCGGAGAGTAACCTTCCCGGCGACGGCATCCGGCGTAAATTGTACCTACAAAACCACCAATAATTTCTGGCCTTTTTTGCCCTACACCGTCAGAGACTAATCTACCTTCTCGGTGACAGCATACCCACCCAGCAGAACAAAGGAAGCAGATGCGATTGACGTTGGAGACTACAATTTCATCTATTGAACAACCACTGGTAATAAGGTGAAATCTAGAAGTAACTTGGGCTTACAGTTTTTGGTAAATGATAGATAGTTATTGCCCATAACAGTATAATGGTCATACATCCCTGACTTGTAGCTTGATTTCTGTGAGAGAGTGGATCGACTTCTTGGGGCTTGAAGGAACAGTGCTGTAATTTATAATAACACGCAGAAAATAGAACCATATGAACTATGTTAGGACGCCATATTTATAAATTTCCACTCTTAAAAGCATAATATATACTGAAAATGAGAGAAGAGAATCATTGAACCTTTTAGCCTCTCTAAAGATGTTAATATCCAGTATCAGAGAAATTACAAAAAGCTAGTCAATGCTCTCGATTCAGATCATATGCAATATGTCTCTCCCTCAACCATAATACACTTGCCATTTTAAGATATTCTGTCTGATAGTGTTTTTGCTGCTGCAATATAGCATTCCTAGAACTCTGTGAAGCAATTCATCTATGTAAATATGATGGATTGTCTATGAAATGAATAGAAAGGCAAGCCAATTTGTTTAAATGTAATTGTAATAGGGTTAATACATAAAAGTAGGATTGTTGATAATGAAAGAGTACAGTTTTCATATTCTGCATTTTTGTAACAAATTTGGGGTTATTGGTTTTTGAATGGGAATTTTAATTTTGATGTAGGCCGCGAAATTATGGAAGCAGTGGAAGATGATGTCATAGTAGAATTGGAGCATGTGAATGTGGAAGACAATATGAGCGCATGTGTGGATGAAACGAGAGGAGGAGATGGTGGGATTGTGCCGCAGGTGGGTATGAAGTTCAAGGACGAAAATGAAGTTTACGAGTTCTATAAGAGATATGCATATGAGGTTGGTTTCCCAGTCAGGAGAAGAAATTCAAAGAAAGATGACGATGGGGTTTTGCAATATGTGACGTTGACATGTAGTCGTGAAGGACAACGAAGCGGTTGTACGAGCAGCTCTTTGAAGCCGCAACCAACAATCCAGACAGGTTGTAAAGCCAGGATCTCTGCAGCTTTTGATTATCAAGGTTTCTGGGTAATTAGAACAGTACACCTCGACCATAACCATAAGACAAGTCCTTCGAAGTCAAGGTTGTTTAGATGCAACCGAGATATAAGTGCACATGTGAAAAGGAAGATTGAAGTGAATGACCTGGCAGGGATTTCGTTGCACAAAAGCTTCAACTCTGCAATTGTTGAAGCAGGAGGTTATGAGAATCTTAGTTGTGTGGAAAAGGACTGTAGGAACTATATTGAAAAAGTGAGGCGATTAAAACTTGGGGAGGGAGATACAGCAGCAATACAGTCTTACTTTTCAGAAATGCAAGCAGAGTGCTTGGGATTTTACTTTAGCATTGATCTGGACGAAGATTCAAGGTTGAGAAATGTTTTTTGGGCAGACAATCGATGTCGTCAAGCATATAAGGAGTTCGGGGACGTTGTGACCTTCGATACAACGTACCTCACTAATAAATATGATATGCCGTTTGCCCCATTTGTTGGCGTAAATCACCACGGACAATCAACGCTTTTTGGTTGTGGTTTGTTATCAAATGAGAACACAGATACTTTTGTTTGGCTATTTAGGACATAGCTTAAGTGCATGCACAATCAAGTGCCACATGGAATAATAACCGATCAAGACAGGGCCATGCAAAATGCAATACAAATAGTTTTCCCTGATACGAAGCACAGATGGTGTTTATGGCACATTCTAAAGAAATTGCCAGAGAAGTTTGGTTACCATGTGGACAAAGGATCTATATTTTTGACTATACACGTATTGGTGTATGATTCACAGAATGTCGAAGAATTCGAGGCCGGTTGGAAAATAATGATAGATAAATATGAGTTGCAAGACATTGAATGGTTGTCAGGTCTTTACGAAAATAAAGGTCGATGGGTTCCTTGCTTTCTAAAAACATCGTTCTGGGCCGGAATGTCATCAACACAACGATCTGAGAGTATGAATGCCTTTTTCGATGTATATGCTCACTCGAAAACATCGCTAAAGCAATTTGTGGAACAGTATGAACGTGCACTACGGAACAAGGTGGAGAAGGAGTTCCAAGCTGATTTCAAGTCATTTTCGCAAATGGTTCCGTGTGCAACGACGTATGAAATTGAGCAGCAATTTCAGGCAGTATACACAATTTCAAAATTTAGGGAAGTGCAGGTGGAGTTCGCAGGGAAGGTATATTGTGACATCATATCTACGGCGGATGTTTATTCGGGGTCGACCTACGAGGTATGCGACGATGTGCTATGCAGGGATCGGCGAAAGAGAAAAGATTCTTAGTGTTATTTAATAGGGAGAACTGTGACATTGTCTGCACTTGTCACTTGTTTGAGTTTCGGGGAATTCTTTGCAGGCATGCAATCGCAGTACTCATCCGTAATGACGTTCGTGTACTCCCAGATAGATATGTACTTCGAAGATGGAGGAGGGATGTTAGTAGAGCACACACCAGGGTCGCTGTTAGCTATAGTGGATTGGTCAGCACTCCCGGACAGTTGCGTTATGATAGAATGTGTCAGGCTTTCGCTACCATTACCAATCTAGCTGCAGAAGATGAAGGTCGGACCCTTGCAATTATGGAATGGATAGGAGTTCAAGAGAAGGAACTCATGAGTTCGAGGTCAATTAGCGGAAGCAATGTTGTACTGCAACGTACTACTCAAGTGTCATCGAACAACATAGGTTCGCAAAAGAATGTAAGTTGCACAGTACTGGACCCTAACGCGGTGAACAAGAAGGGTGCACCTAAAAGAGTTCGGAGAAAGGGCCCGTTAGAGTCAACGTCAAAGAAGGCAACGGTAAGTTCGCATGTTACCTTCTGAAGTGAAACGGATTCCTAACATTTATATCTCCTAACATTTATATCTCATTCTTTCGACTGTACGTGCAGGCTCCATCGAAAGGCAAAAGACCAACTGCTAGGCGTACTTATCCACCAGATGGTGCATCGTCCATTCAAGCTCATCAACAACATGATTTGTCAATGCCCATTCCGTTCTCCTACTCGCAGCTCTTGTTGGTAAGTAACTTTAATTTATCCCGTTCGTAGGTTTGTTGTGTCATTTGCGCTTTCCTATTTTGATGTAGGGTGACCATGATAGCCAAGTGTTTCCACAACAATTACCGAGTTCCACACCGATCCATCCGTCCTCGACCCATCCAACATTCAATTCTCAAGGTACGCATTTATATTAAAACACGTTTCTTTTTTCCTTTTTTTCATCCATAATTTGTTCTTACATTGATGTCCTCTTTTATAATAGGTCATGCACATCCTTACTACTATCCAGAGGAATGGCATCAAGGTGGCAATGAGTAGGTCATGCATTTTGTTATGTTATGTTCATCGGGGTCGATGGAATTGTTGGCATTCTCGGCAGAGATGAAGATGCAACAGTAAATGCTTCGAGCCATGATTGTTTGAAGATGGAAATTGAAGGTCTTTTGCCAATCAGTTGGGAGACAGAAGTTTTGAATTTGATGACAGAATTTCCATCTTCATATTCGAATTTTGTAAAGAATTTGATGAAAAACATTTTGCTTCATATTCGAATTCTAGGTCAATTTTGATGTTAGAATTATGGTTTATTTATCTGTTTTTCTGTCCTCGGTATACTTTGGTGATCGCTTGATTTATAATCTTGGAGAAATATGAGAATTCAAGATTTTGGTTTTATCTTATTCTTGGAGTGTTCAATGGAAATCTCTCTTTCAATTGTAATCTATATTCGATCTGTTGCTGGAAGCTTTGCTAATACGTTTATTCTTTCGTGGTTTGCCCTTTGATTCTTATGCAATACCTGGGGCTTTCATATTTTGGTATGTAAATGTGTAACTTGCATGTAAATGATCAAAATCTAGTCAACTGGTCCTAATTGTGAAGCAGCAGTATGTTTTTCATTGGTATTTTGGGTCGACTAGGTTCTATAGATGTGTGATTAGCTACTTAGCTTTGCAAACAACTTAAAAGTTTTTCATTTACATCTAGGATCTTACACGATTGTGGAGATGTAATGCCATGTTATCTATCATAAATTTTAATTACTGATTACCTTGTTAAATTGATCTGCAGGAAGAAAATCAGACATCAAAAAATGAGTGGAGATGTAATGCCATGTTCTCTAAACTGTGGCCCATGTCCATAGCTGTTTTCTATACATTCAGGACCTAAATTTATGATAGATAAAGGCTCTATTGCCGTCAGCAGATAAGAGTTTACAGTTTCAGGACAAATATAAGGTTCAACAACCATTTGGCAAGCCATACGTTGATCGACATTGTAAATTGAGACGGGGTACAAGTATTGAGCATAAGATCCAATCTAATTCTTCAGAGATTGAACTAGAAATGGCCGTGTAATCTCCAGGTGAAGGAGATTGAACTAGAAATAAGCAACAAGATTGAAGTAGAACCAGAACCAGAAATAATCTCAAAGCAATAATGTGTGGAATTAACACCAGAAAAAAGGAAAATATATTACATCTCCAAAGGTTAAAGTACATAGTTCTGTTGCATGCTAAAAACCTCTTCTCCTCTGCATCTACTGGATTGGAGGAGATAACAATAAAACCAACAACCTAACATTGACTCTGCTAAAGCTAACACTGCTAACACAAACAAAAGATTCGATATAACTAAACACAAATGCACCGCCAATCAAGCCGGCCCCTTGCCCTTGGTGTTCCACTCGGTGCTTGAATTTCCCGTTTGGATCGTCACATTCACAGAAATGTGGAGTTCTTGTTCATCGTTTAGCCGAACTTGTGACTGAAACATGCGGGACATATCATCAACTGAATCTATCGGATCCGGCTTCGGAAACATAACAACAACGTCTTTGGCTTTGCCGCTTGATTCCCCTTCTTTGCACCACTCCCAGAAACCACATTTAAGACTGCAACATTTGAAGAATTTTCCTTTGTTGGCTGTAGCCCGTTCTACCTCAAACCACTTTTGAAAACCTTGGTTACACGTTGGACATCGGACTTTTATCGGGCATTCGGCAAAAAAGTGGGCTTTACTCCTACAGCTGTGACATAATCCGGAGTTCTTTCCTGGCATTCTACAATGGGAATCAAGCACCAAAAAGAGAAAGTTATACAATACATAAAGTTTTTCTTTACATTAATCAACTCTCAGCTATACAGGTTCGAGCATTTATACACTTTTGACCATGAATGAAGTCGCAGCTATGCCGCATTTCGAGCCCAGAAACCGGTTTCGACAAAACTACAAACTTTATGCACTTTCGAACATGAATGAAGTCTCAGCCATAGATATTTTGGGATACAGTAATAATATCAACAATCCACGACATTCACTCATCACACCAACAACGAAATTTCTACAATAGCAGGAACAATTCTTCAAGAACGGCACCTTAAAGTTGTTCAAAAAACGTACCTTCCTGTAAAGCCCCTTTCCTTAATATTTTCGTCGAATTGATACTTCAAACCACAAAATTGCTGCTGCCGTTCACGACAATTGGGGAAAATTTGAGAGAGGGCTTTTTCTTCTAGCGTGGCGCCGGAAACCCTCAGCCGATTCACCAGAAAGTTATATACAGTAGCCGTTCATGACATTTGGGGAAATTTTTAGAGGGGTTTTTCATCCGGCATCTGTTTCGTTTCCTACAAGAGTTAAAAGAAGTAACTGTACAAATTTAATATCTCCATGTGTTTCTAATAGCGTGTTTCTTTCTAATAGCGTGTGTTTTTAATATAGCGTGTTTCTTTCTGGGAGAATTTCCAATTTTGCCCTTTCCACCTCACATTGTAAGTTCACATTGTACAAGTAGCATTCTCCGGTTTGGATAAGGATTAAAAATATCTATCCATCACATCACATTTAAATAATTTTTTAAATATTGTTTTTTAGGTTTGATTTAGCCTCGTTTTGTGGGAATAAAATCAATTTTTTATTAAATTTTTTATAAAAGTTGACAAAAATATGTAGTTAAAAAATTGTGAATCTCATAACATATCTTGTTAAAATTAATTTTTAATTTTGACTTGGATTTTAATCCATATTAAACAAGAATTAAATTGGAAATATAAAATAAAATTAAAATAACAATATTCGAGTATCAATATTCAAAAGAATTTTTTTTCTATTTTTTAATCATGCATTTCTAAATAAATCATTTTCGACTTAAAAAAATCTTTTCCAAACAAAAATGTGAAAACTATTTTGATATAGACAATAACATTTAGCCCCCGTTGGCCCCTGTTATTTGATATTATAATTTTTAAAATAGAGTTTTTTTTTAAAAAAACTGTGTGGTTGAAGAAGAAGGAAAGATTTTGGTTTATGAGTAATATTATTTTATTGAAAAGTATGTGGTTAAAAAAAATAGAGAAAAATGTATTATAAATTTAATGGGCTCAAACGAGGGCTAACTTATGAAGCGCGTGACGCCACAACACTAATGATAGAATGTGGATGACCAAGCTATGATTCGGATAAGAAGTGGGACCTATGCGATTTTGTTGGTTTGACACGCAGAACCTTGTAGTTGTGATATAGCAAAATTATTTTCGAAAAGAAGGGGCCTACTACACAAATAGGGTCGGGACAAGCTCTGTGACAAGAGCTGAGTGGCTGACACCTCAACTCCGTGACATGGCCCTCTCAAAGGCCCCTGTTTGAACAGCATAATTTTTTAAAAAATGCGTAGTTACTATTCTGTACCACCCAAATTTGAATATTTATATACACAATTACCTCACTATTCCCTAATCTATTACATCGGTTGCAAATGTATCTTCAACATTTAAAATACAATGTGTTAGTCTCCAATGACTTAAGCTATTGAAATTTATGTTAAATCATCACTCTCATATATCTAATTCCCCAAATATAGGTTTTTCTTTGTAGCTTGAATGAATTTTGCAACCATAAATGAGGAACCTTAGATAATTGTCAAATTTAGCCTCAATAATTGAAACTATCCAAATTTATATTATATCATCACCTAGTACTAACATATCTAGTTTTATGATGCTAGATTTTACTTTACAATTTGAACCAATGTCTGGATTATACATATTTTGACTTAAAGCCTAAGACTATACTCTTTTTGAATGATAAATTAACCTGCTCATTTTTTTAACACAAATATGTGACATGTCACGAAAGTTGTGTGATAATTTAATCAAAGTTTGAATAGTTCTTGTTACTTGTGACAAGGGGACTATAACAATGGATAGGTGACAATTTGTTCATTTTAAAGGTCAAAAAAATGTGACTTGAGAGTGTTCATTAAATGCCGACATATTGATTTTGAATTCTTACCATTACAATCCCAACATATAAGGTATGAGTAATCATTTGAGATTCATCGTGTCTAATGAGAAAAAGTTTGTTTATGATGATGACAAATGGAATACTGGATGGGTGCATTTATGGAAGCAATATCTCCCGTTACGCGGGAAGTGGACCGGATTGTTCCGAACGAAATAACGGGTACTCGTATTTTGTCAGTTACTGTACGTCGTTCTTCAGGTACACCATCCACGCAATGTAAGTGAGCCAGATACGAGTCCACTACCTAGCTCAGGAACTGCACTCGTTGTGGTAGAGTTGATTATAACTGGACCACATGTTCCAACCTCATTGTATCACAAGTTATGTGAACAAGCGTGATGTGTAAAAGTAGTTGTCCAATGTAATTCCAAAAATATTCCCCCCATGTAGTGTACATTCCGAACTTATGTTATTAATTTCTTATTATTATCGTATGCCAACAAAAAATTGGTCTTTTTTTTCCATTAGCAAAGTACCGATCATTACGGTTCCATTAGCACAAACGGGATGAATACGTTATTTTCATTATAAACTTAGCCGATCATTATGGTCCCATTAGTTTCGACTGACAGTTTGTCGAAATGGAAAATTGATTTTCATGAGACGACAATTCACAAGCAAAACACTAACATTACATTCCAACAGTTCATATGTCGTTCTCGATAGATAGTCTTTGTAATTTTCGATAGTTGGGAACAATAACGGCTTCCAAAAATACACTACTGCAGTTATCCATTATAGACATGCTGTTGTTGCATGTACGCAGAGGACGTGACCAAAATCATCCTTACTATTATGGAAGCAAAACCTTGTGTCACTACAATCCACTAAAAAATTAAATTTTCATCCCCACCAAATAAATTCTAATTAGCAACATTATAAATAGTGGACTCAATTAATAGTGCATCATAAACATTATTTCTTGTCATATAGTACTACTATGGAAAACAGAAGGAAGAGGACAATTCCTTTCAAAATTGGATTGAAATACTTTAAACAGTTTCACAGTTGAAGTGCTCTTTCGAATTTTTGAATAAATCAGCGAAAAAAAAATCTCTTTTCACATATCTTCATTATTTCTCACGCTTATGCACCGAACATTTCACAGAAGTGTACGTAAATATCGTAACATATGCTCAACCTACTGTGTTCCCCAGCACATTATCAGCATACATTATTTTCTTCAACTTACATTGTCATTACTATTCCATTATCGTTTGCAGACAGGTAAATATATTTTCAACTTCACAAGCAAAATACAGATCCATTTACAATATACTGCATTAGTTATACCATGATTGTCATGATTTTGGCACTTTTAATGGCTCATCATCTTAACCCAATCATAACTTAAGCAGGGATTCACATTTAATATGGAAACATAATCAACTGGTCGCCGTGACCTATGAACGTCGAAAGAGACGCTAGTGCCTTTTTTGCAAAACAAATATTAGTTTACATAACCATTCATAGTTTGCAAATTTCGTCCATCTGTTGTGAACTAACCCCACATCCTGCATATCCTCAGTGAACCATTACAACATTCTAACTAAGAAATAATAGACCAACTTCAAGAACATGTATAATATTAAAAATTGATACGTGGGTGCAAAGGTACAATTTTTACAAATGAAGAATTTAACTGTACATACCGCAAAAAAATGGAGTTTAGCCATAACCTATAATGACAGTATCCCACTTTCGAATAAACAAAGCTGCATAAAATGTAATCATTGGACGAGAATATTACAAAGTAACAGAAAATATAAAGCTTCGTCCATGGGGATCGTGTTTGTGTATATAGGCCCGCAGTTGATCCGTTGCACGCTTTCTCATTGTTTGTTGCTTCCCTCGATAGTGCACGAAACAGTTCTTTTGCCTACCCGACTTTCTACACAAGTAAGGCCATTTGTCCTGCAAGGTACAGCGAGAGAAACACATATTAGATTATGTTGAAACATAAAAATACAACACGTAATGAATCAAATTCATGTCTACACTAATGTGCACTATCGAGAAAAATTGACCTCAATCGTCGGTATGGACAGTTCATCTGTCGATACCAACACAGTAGAGAAAAATTGACATCAAACTCATATTTTCGAGCATGAAAATTGAACAAAGTACATTGCAGTAATTTTTGTTCCAAGAAAAATGAAAAAAATACCAAACCTTGAAAACGTGAACAAAGTAATAATTTTCAGAGAATGCCAACTACAAATTATGGTAAAAATTGTATATTTTTAGAGTTTGTATTGAAGGAATAGTAAACCTTACCTGTTAACCAAACCCATAAATTTCACAACACAAAACTTGTAATAAATCAAGCAGAATCGACAGCGAACTTAATAAGGAAAGACAAACACAAGTTACAAAGTAAGGGTAACATAAGACAAGAAAAAAATCATACCAAACACAGAAACTTAAATCCTTCGAAAAAACATACGACTGTCAAAATTTTTAGCTTCAAAATTGAACAACGTATAGTGGTACGATATCCGTTCCAAAAAATAAATAAATTTTCGAAGACCTTTAGAACATGAATAAAGTAACAATTTTTACAAAACATCTAATTAAAAATTATAGAAAAAATTTAGATTTATAGACTTTGTGTTTGAAAATGGTTGAAGCTTACCTCTCAACCAAACCCATAAACTTTAGGACATGAAACCTGCGAAAAATCAACAAGAATAGATTAAATATAGAGTAAGGAACGAAAAAATATAAGTTGCATAGAAAACTTTGTATAAACAACCAAAATAGAAAAATGAAGTGAAATATCAAAATAAAATGAAACACAACACAACAATGTATTACCTGTATGACTGCGTTAGTCTGCATATTTGTGCGTTAATCTGATAATCTGCGGAAGAAATAGAAGAGCTAAAATCAATTTGTAGGGTTTCTTTGTTTAAGAATGAAAAGCAATTTAAAAGGAGATAAGATACGATGATAGTGTTTTTTGGGAATTTGTTATTTCTTCAAGAATAAAATGGAAAAATGATATTACTTCTTTAGTATTATGACTTTTTGTATAATTATTCTATTGACAGGCAATCATATCTCATTTAATGAAGAATATATAAGATATTGAAAGTTTTCAAAAGAATAAAAAGGTTTAAAAATGACAATTTTACAAGAACTTTAAAAAAGTCATATCTTTGTAAATGCAAATCCAAATTTGACATTCTTTGTAATTTCCACTTCTCTGGATTCTTCACCAAAATCTCCTCATTAGACCTGGATCATAGGTATTTGTCCCTTGGCCTATTTTACGCCATTTGTCAATAGCAGTGGGTCCCACTACGCAGAAAGTCTTTGTATGATTACACTAAGACACGTGGCACCAATCTCGACCAACCCTCCTCTAGAAAGGCCCTCGTACAAGTTCTTGATTGGTCATTTGGTCGTTACGACTTTACGAAACGGGGGCAATGAGAAAATTGTGGGGAAAAGCTGAAGAAATGAATAACCCATTTTCCAAGGGTCTGAAAATTTTTGAATACATTTTGGCCCCCCTATAGGCACCATTGAGGGGGTTTCTTGATTATCTAGAGTCTTCTGTTGTCTTTCTTGAAGAAGGCTGTTTCTGAGGAAAAAAAGCAGATTCATATTTATAAAAAATTTGTGGGTCTTTAAGAAAATAACATGATTAGATGGTGGATTTCAGCTCTGCAATGTACTGAGTTATTTTTGACTTCTCTGGTGCATTTGACATATGGGTTTTACATATTCAGCACAGCTTTAGCTGGTGATCTCTCACAGGCTGTGAGTGACTGGTTCTCTAAGCCTAATTTGGAGAATGGATTGAAAGGGGATGATTCAAACAAGACAACAAGTGGAGGTGATTTGCCTCCCATTGTGTTAGTTCATGGAATCTTTGGTTTTGGCAAAGGGGTATGTATATATGTATAAATGTTTATATATGTGTATATGATCCCATTGACATTTATGAAATTCGACAAATTTTCAAGAATGGATATTTCTTTATGATTGTGTAGAGATTGGGGAATTTGTCGTATTTCGCGGGGGCAGAGAAGAAGGATGATAGGGTTCTTGTGCCTGATTTAGGCTCATTAACAAGCATATATGACAGGTGGGTGTTTTTCAAATTCAATCATACAAATGCTCATTTGTTTCGTATAGATGTTTCTGGTTTTATTATGCACAGTCTTTTCCAATAATTGATTGGGTTAAGGTTTCAGGGCTAGAGAATTGTTCTATTATCTCAAAGGTGGGCAAGTTGATTTCGGAGAAGAACATAGCAAGGCTTGTGGGCACTCTCAATTTGGGAGGATTTACGAAAAGGGTAGGAATATAACTGGCCCTCTGCTGCAATTTTCTTAACTCGGTTCTATACTAAGATCTTTGGATATGGGAATTATGTGCACGCTTGGTATGCAGTATTGGATTTTATTGGACGGAATAATGAGCAAGAGATTAGCTTTTCTTTGTTATCTAATCTTTTGCACCAAATATGCCATATATGTTCCTGTGTTTTTGACTTGTATAATTGCGAAAATGCAGGGCATTACCCCGAATGGGACGAGGATCACCCCATTCACTTTGTGGGACATTCGGCTGGAGCACAGGTTGTTCGGGTTTTGCAGCAAATGCTCGCAGATAAGGTGAGTTTTTGCGTAAATGAATTGGTTAACAGTGAGACATAAAACAACTTTGATATAGTAAATGAAAGAGATTGTCAAATTAACTTCAGGCATTCGAAGGGTATGAAGATACTTCAGAGAACTGGGTACTAAGCATAACGTCATTATCCGGAGCATTTAATGGGACAACAAGAACCTATTTAGATGGAATGCAGTAAGTTTTATGAATAGTCAACCATTCTTTTTACAGTTCATTTTCTTTTATCTTTTTTTTTTTTTTTTTTTTTAACCTTTAAATAGCCATCTTTTACCTCTAAGAAATGGAGATATGCACCTGTTTATTTTAGAAAATAAGTGAAAATCTTGCTTTTTTTTTTTTTTTTTTTTTTTTTTTTTTAACCATTGAATAGCCATCTTTTACCTCTAAGAAATGGAGATATGCACCTGTTTATTTTAGAAAATAAGTGAAAATCTTGCTGTTAATGGTGTGACCATGGACAATTTATACTAGAAGTTGAATGTGTTTGTTATTGCTTAATTGCAATTACTCAACGTAATCCATTTTCATTTTTCCCTCTGATTGATTATTATGGTGATAAGTTGGACTAGAGAGTCGGGGACAATATTAAGATATAAAAAGGTTCAAATCTTGTCCATTTTATTGTCTAGTATTTTATCGAAATACTCCATCTGCTTGAAGTAATGTCATCCTCGATTTTCATTGTAATGAAAAATATGTGCAGGCCAGAAGATGGGAGGTCCTTAAAGCCCATCTGTCTACTGCAGCTATGCCGTATAGGGGTAATAATATACGATTGGTTTGACATTCCATGTCTAAAGAACTTCTACAATTTTGGATTTGATCACTTCAACATGTCATGGAAGAAGATGGGCATTTGCGGTCTTATTGATTGTCTATTGGGAAATAGCGGTCCATTTGCATCAGGCGACTGGATACTTCCCGATCTTACAATCCAGGGGTCGCTCAGATTGAACAGCAATATACGTACATTTCCTGACACGTACTACTTCAGCTATGCCACCAAGCGCACGAGGAAAATCATGGGTATAACAGTTCCTTCTGGCATTCTTGGAATACACCCATTGCTTTTTATTAGAGTTCTGCAAATGAGCCAATGGCGACACCCTCCTGATATCATGCCCCCTTATAAAGGTTATAGGTTAGTACCACTTATTTTTCTTATCAAATTCGCCTCAATTATATACACTTTATTCTAAGATACTTGAAATCAAACTTTCACTTCCCGTATATCAAATTGCAAATGATTCGTTGATGAATGATAGGGATGAAGATTGGTGGGACAATGATGGTGCACTCAACACCATATCCATGACACATCCTCGTTTCCCAGTCGAACATCCTAGTCATTTTATTGTACAAGATTCAGACTGCCAACCTTTGCTACCAGGCATCTGGTTCGTTACCTCTTACCACTCAAGTACAATGGGAAAATTATTTACTTTTATCGTGCGCAAACTAGATTCTGTCTTATTTGCATATGTTTTCTATACGAAGCTAAAATGTGATGGAAAAGAGAGATAATCAGCAGAGTTTTGCTCAAGTCGAACTACTGTATTTCTTAATGATCTTTTTAATTTAGGTATTACAAGATTGTGGAAGGCGATCACATTCTTTTCATTATAAACCGGGAAAGGGCAGGAACTCAATTCGATCTGATATATGACAGCATTTTTGAGCGATGTAGGAAGCACGCATTCAGAAAGAATCCGACTCTACCAAATCATCAAGTGGACCATTAGCTCGTATATGTTACTTTCCATTACTACAAATAGGAGAGATTAGAAAGCAATAGAATACTGTGATATTGAAATTCAAGATAGACACAGCCAATTCTTGGACGAGTAAACTTGTTCGCGATTGCACCCTTTTTTCTTCCTTTGACCTCTTCTATTATGGATGTAAATAAGAACGTTTACTCATTTTTTTCTCCTTTACCTGAGTTTATAAACAAATGCATTTTCTGTAAGTTCATTTAGGTGTGTTTAATGTTAAATCACTTGTTGAATTCTCTCTTAGATTTTGACACGACATAGAAACAATATTGTTGAATTAGAATACTTTTAAGTGTAACTTAGTAGACTCTTCCGAGAATGCCTAGATGATGTCGAGAAAGTTGTTATTGAGAAAGATTAAAGTGTCTAAAGAGACTACAAACTTCGTGAACTTCGGCGAAAATGCCTAGACGTTCAGAAATTTGTCCAGAAGGTCGAAATGAAATAGAAATTCTTGTCCCTTTACCTAGTTTAACGAGAATACTTACAAATTATGAAATCCAAGTGATGTAAAATGGACTAAAAGTTTTCTTGAGATCGATTGACATGAATCAAAAATCACAAATAGTTACTGTTTGTTCATCTGTCACAAATAAAAAAATTTATAAATCACAATTTATTTATCGATCACAAATTACAAAAATTTTCCCCGTTTGATATCAATTTTTTTCAAAATATATTTTTTTTTCTTTTTTAACTACACATTCTTTATTAAAATAATATTATACGTAAATCAATTTTTTTTTTATTTTTCAATCGTACACTTCTCATCAAGTTATTATTTTAAAATATATTTTTACATAAAAATAACTAACAAACACCCACGATTTATTATACAGTTTCAGATTATCAAATTATTAATCACAAATTAATAGTTTATATTTTTGATTGGTCAAACATTGTTTTTTGTCACAAATTAACCAAATTAATTGTTACAGTCATCCAAATAATTTGTTATCACCACCATCACTTGTAACCATGCCCACCGACATCATCGCCAAGGTTATTGGTCACACACTTTCTTCACCTTACTTCACGCTACCCGACAACTACCATCGACATCATTGCTATCCCATTCATATCGTCGCACCATCAGCAACAACCAAAAGCCACGCCACCTTATAGCACACGACGACCTGCACTATCAACATAACCACCACCACTACTGTCCCCACCATCGACATTACCACCCACAAACAACTATCAACAAACTCCCCACAGAAAACCACCAATAGCACCACCACTCTATAGATTAGAAAACCACCAGCGATTGCTGCCAGACATCACCACCACCACATTCACAATCACTACCATCACCACCACCACCTTCCAACCACCGCCATCACCACCCATCCAAAAGATCAGACAACCACCCACAAATCTGACGCAGCACGCAGCGAGGCTTCACAACGCGCAGCGGTATCGTACATCGTTGCGTGCGATGATGGAAATAAGTCGCCGGAGAGCGAGGCTATGCGGCGGTGGAGAATAGATTGTTTTTGGAGAAGAGATCGTGACTTGGATAAATTGGGGGGTGGGGGGTGGGGCAATAATCTAGGGATTGGGTGTGAAATTGGGTGAGGTAAAGGTAGTTGGGGTGGGTATGTAAATAATTTATCTGATTATTGATATTAAATTTTTTAATTAAAATCTGATTTTTGAATAAACAAACTTTGGATCTGATTTTTAAAGTTGTATCTTAAAACATATGGATGGTGTAATTTCTACTAATTTTTTTTTCATTGTTTTGTATGTGGCTATGAGTTTTAACTGTCAACAATATGACTATGGGTTTTTTTAGATGATATTAATGAATTTTATAAATTCTATGGTATAACTAAAGCTGATTTTGGCTTCAAATCTTTTTACGGTATAATTTGTGAGTTATGTCTACTTGAACTCCAAATTACATATTTAAACTTCTCTATTGGCTTGATGGATTTTGGTTTAACTTAGTCACTGATGCATCCTATTTGCTAACTAATTTGGCTTGCCCGAGTCGATGAAGTAGACGTCGAGCACACTTAATGATACTTTTTACTTTCATTTTTATATCTTTATGTTTTGGAATGATTTAAGAACTAGAAGACAAAGAAAGATAATAAAAATGATTCGTATGTTATACTCGAAGGTGTAAAACACACACTTAGGATGGTCGTTAATTTATTGCAAATCATGTCGAATCAATTTGTCAAGTGATATGATTTTAATGAAAGTGTCTCTTAACGAGTTGATATGCTTCAAAAATATGAAGAAGAGCGAATGACTCTTAATTATCCTACATGTTAAAATAACTCTCGAGAGTCTTAGGTTGAAAATTAGAAAGAGCAATAAAATTGCATTAAGAAAATAAAGACAAAATAACTTGTAAAATTTATAGTGGTTCACTTAAATGCGAGACTAAATCCTCGTTCACCGCTATAGTAATTCATTATGGAAAAAAAAGTTTTATAGGAGAAAAATCAAAAACCATATTTTCTCTATTTTCACTAACCTCTCTCTTATATAAATTTTAATGGCGACTCCATATTTATTAGAAAAACATACGGTAAAATAGAAATTATAAGCGTCAAATTCTTAAACTACCCAAAGATTGATTCGTGTATCCACTTTGAATAACAATAATAATTAGACTTCACAACTATCAGTTCAAAACAAGGAGGTTGATGGTCCGGGTCCAATTGGAACATATATATCAAATTAATAGGCCATCCACACCAACTAATACATACAACTTGGTCAAAATTACCCCTACGCATAGTTTTAAAATGTCCAATTCAAAAATCAGATTTAAAGAATTTTTGTTCAAAAATCAAATGATCTTTTAAATATTAAGCCCACGTTTGAATCTCATTGAATTACATTATATTTTTCTCTATCATATTTTCAATCACACAATCTTTCATAAAATACTATTACATGTAAATCGAAACTTTTTTTTTTCTCAATTATTCATTTTTCTAGAAAACACAATTCCACCGATTTTCATTTCCAAAAAATGAGAGTCAAACGAGAACTAATAAAATGTTATAGAATTAAATTTAATCTACTTATTCAACATTTCATTTTCAAACCCTAATCATTTTCCTTATTCTCTCTCTCTCTCTCTCTCATTTCATTCTCTATCGATTTTCTCACCAATTTCGCTGGAAGATGAGAAGGCGCCATCGGAAGACGTCATCGAGTGGCACCTTGAATCCGTCATGATAACACCACAGCAGCGATCTATCATTTGCAGTTGCCTCAAACGGCACGCTGAGGCTGCTACAAACTCACAGCTGCGTTGCTTGGTAGTGCACCTGTCGCCATCATAGAAAAATTTGGGGAGGCGTTTGGAGATTTTCGATCATCGACAGCAGCGAAAAGTTGGGAAGAGAGTTTGGGGTTTTAGGGATGATTCCATTCTCCTTCGATCTGATCTGTTTAGCCGGAGCCGCTATGTAGACATGTCTTCTCCATTGTAGTGGAAAATCTAGTGATGGTTTTGGTTGTGGTGGTGGTGTTGAAGGTGGTGTTTGCGGTTGTGTTGTATTGGGTTGATGGTGTTGTGGGTGCTGTAATGGTGGTTTTGTAGCTGTGGTGAGTTGATAGTGGTCAGGGTGGTCGTGACTATGGTTGCTGTGGTGGTGGTGTATGGTGCGGTCGTGGTGGTAGTGGTGGTGTACACTACGTGGTGTGCAGTTGTTCATATATATATTTTTTTCAAATGTTCTACTGCATTTACAATGGTGTGATGGAGGTAAACGTGGCAATGGTACAATGGTGGTACAGGTGGTTGATGGTGGTGAAGCATTGGTTTTGGTTGTTGAAGTGGTGGTGGCAGCTTTCATATTTTGGCAGTGGCGGGGCGGTTGACGATGGTGGTCGTGGCAGTGGTTGCGACGATGATGGTGAGATGTTGGTGGCGATGGATCTGTCGCGATGGTGGTGGATTTGGCACGACGATGTGGTGGTGTTATTCTACGATGTGTTGATTTATTTGAGGTGGTGGTGTTGCCGTAGGGAGGTGGTGGTGGTTTTGGCGACGGCGGTGGTGGTGCTTTTGGAGGTAGTGGTGAGATGGTGGACGCAAGTGTTGGTGGTGGTCACAATTTATTTGGTTGGACCTCTACCATTATATTGGTTAATTTATGACCAATAAATAATATATAACCAATGAAAAAGATAAATTGTGATCAAGAAATAATGTATGACCTAAAAATTTATTAATTGTGACCGATAATTTGATAATTTGTGACTATCTAATGAGTTGTGACTTATAATATTTGTGATTTGTAATTGATAAATAAATTGTGACTTATAAAGTTTTGATTTGTGACCGATAAACAAATTGTGATCTATTAAATTTTTGAAATATGAAGGTAAAATAATTTGTGACATAAAAATTTTGATTTGTGATCGAAAAATAATATGTGACTAATTAAATTATTAATTTGTGACCAAACTGTATAGATTTGTGACCTTAAGATAGTTAATTAATTAAATCATGAATAAATATTAATAAACATCCGATTTTAAAAAATCGAAACCTTTATTTTTAATTTTGAAATGGTTGATACTTACCCTATAACTTATGCCAGATTTCCTCGGGTTCTTTACATCTTTTATTCTGACCACTATAAACACAAAACAATATTCAACCTTACTCTTCCAAAATTTTAACCCTTTTTCACACCCTTTCTAAATTCTCCCCCTTAACTAAAGTTTCCTTTCAACTTTCTCTTCAAGATTTTCCTTGCAAGTTTCTTGAGAATCAATTCCCTCTTCCCTACAAAAATTCCTTCTTCTTTTTTTTTCTTCTCCTTCACTTGCTATTTATAGAACTATAATTTTCTTGATTCTTGACAATGTGGGTATCCGAAAACCTTCATCAAATGGATAGTATTGCCGGGATCATGCTGCGAAGTCTGTTGAAGCCAATTTCGACGAAGCCAATGGGGAAAGATGATGAAGATGAGCATCCAAAAACACCAACCACTGCAGATTCGAGGATTCCTAGGATGTTGGCATGTCCACCAGCTCCGAAGAAGCGAAAACCGTCTTCGAGGTGCCATTATGCTGGTGTAAGGGAGTTCTTCAATCCACCAGACTTGGAAACAGTTTTTCAGACTCTAACTTAGCATAAATTAAGGTTCTTGATCACTACGATTAATATTGTTCAACCCCAAGAGGTTTTTAGTCTCGTTTTGATCTTTTAAG